TGTGTTATGGGTTTCCTGCATAAGCTATTGCTCTAGAGTGTAACACAGTCACATGCGGTGACCTGGTCTCTGCCTTCACTGGACAGATCACAATGCTGCGTGTGCTCTGTTTAGGAAGTAATATGGCATGCACAACTGCCTCCCACTTCTACAGGCACCCATGGAATTCATACTTCATTCACATACAAAGAGACCTGCATATTCCCACAGGCACAACCCCATCTTTTCTTGCACAAACACACATGCACAAATGCACATACTTGTATCCTGACAAGCAGACCCATTTGCGAGCGACATCAGCAATCCAATGTATACACATAAACACAGCCATGCAACTTCCCCTCACAGACACATCTATGGCCCAAAAGCTGGTGCTGGTTTTTTTTAATTCCTCCTGAAGACAAATGTGAGATGATGAGAGAGTTTCTGGTCACAAGTGCCCTTGCTACTTAACAGGGGAGGTCCCTCTCCCAGCGGCTCTTAGGAGATCCTTTTCCATCTTCTTTATAACCATTTCTCATAGATATCTTATTCTCTAATCAGTACCATATCCAAGTACTTGGCTATGATTTTTATTTGGATTTTCTCTTTCAGACGTCTAGAGGAAGCTATTTAATAAAACTATATTTAATGCAAAAGGTTCCAAGCCAGCAGTCGCCTTCCTTTTTTCCTGCTCATAATTCCAGCTGAGGCTACACAATGCAACTCAGGGAAGAGAGCAAAAGCAGCCAGAACCATCCTCAGAAATGCCTTGGTTTTGAGGGCAGTGAGACATCCAGGCACTGTAAGGTAAGAGTAGCACTTCCCATTCTTATGGAGCGTTGCATTCTTAAAGACCCCAAGGCAAATGAGAAACCGTGTTTACAGTGATCCGTTTATTCAGCTACCAAACTGCAGCCACCTCTGGTGTGCAGTGCAGTAACTCAATGCAGTGCTGTGTATCATAGTTTGGGCAAGGAACTGAGAATGAATGCTTTCGACATGAGCCTGTTCTCACTTAAAGCCCGCCCCTATTCTAGAAGTTAATCATAAGTTGTAGAAGTTAGAT